CTAATTATAAATTTATAATATATTATAAAGATTTTAATTATTCTATATATCTTTAAAGTAGATATATATAATATTAAGTTATTTTAATATTATCTTATTAAGTAGTCTTAATATATCTTAATAGCTATTAAAGTAAAAAGAGTTAAATATCTTATTATCTTAGAGAAAATATACGATAAGAGTATATTATGTTACGAGCGTACCCTTGACACACCCCTCAGCCCTATGGCTAGCGGGCCTTGGCGGAGGCATCCCCTATTATATTATACCTCCTTCTTATTTATATAGTTCGATACCTTAGTTATCTTATTTAATATACCTATATTAATATTACATCTATATCGATTCTAATATATTACGTAACTATATTATTAACTTAATATTTATTATAATATTTAATTAACTTTTTATTAATATTAATTTTTCTATAATAGTAAATTATTCGAAATTCGAAATAAATAGAAAATTATTTAGTAATTTTCTTATTATATATTAGAATTTATATTAATTTAAGTATCTCGCTTTACTTATAATAGTTTATTTATTAACGTTACGTAAGTTATCTTTCGATTTTTCGATTTTCTTTAAATTTGATATATAAGTAAAATATATAACTCTATAAAACTATAGAACTTAAAGAGATTTTCGATTTTTTTTTATATACTATCGTTATTTATTAACTCTCTATTAATAATATATTAATATATTACTTTATAGAAAAGTACTTATTAAGATATTAAAAAATCGATATCTCTTTTAAATTTTAATAAATATTTAATAAATATTTATTAATTTAATATAACTTTATTAAATATACGTTATATAAAATATAAAATTTAAATATATTCGATATTTAGTTTTTATTATATAAATTATATTATTATCGCTAATAATCTATCTAATTTCTATTAATAGTAAATTTTTATATATAGTAACTTTCTTAAGATAATTATTTAAGCGATAAGATATTATTATATTATTTATCTATAAAATTAAATTTATTAATTAAAGTTAAATTATAAAGAATATTATTTAACTTCGAAAATTGTTTAATTAAATTCTTTAATAATATTAATATTAATATTATTAAATATATAATTATATTATTATTATTAATAATATAATCTTAGATAGATAAATATCTTAGAAAAAATATACGACTTAGATATATCTCGAATATAATCTATTCGATTTTTAATTAATAGTCTATTAAAGATAATATTAAATTCTTTTAAACTTAAAATAGATTAAAAGATTAATCGATAATCTTTAAATTATTTATTTAAAATTTATATTAATTTAAATAACTCGTCTAGCTTATAATCGTCGATTTTTTAACGTTAAATTAACGTTAATTTAATTTAATTTTTAATTTTTAATTTTTAATTTTTAATTTTTAGTTTTAATTTTAATTTTTTAATTTTAATTTTTTACTTTTTACTTTTTACTTTTTACTTTTTACTTTTTACTTTTTACTTTTTATATTTTATATTTTTTATTCTTTAATCTTTATTTTTTAATTTTTATTTTTTATTTTTTATTTTCTATTCTTTATTTTTATTTTTTATTTTTTTATTTTTTTTTTTTTTGTTCTTTATTTTTTATTTTTTATTCTTTATTTTTTATTCTTTATTTTTAATTCTTTATTTTTAATTTTTCATCTTTCATCTTTCATCTTTCATCTTTCATCTTTCATCTTTATTTTTAATTTATTATATAAATTTAATATATAAGTAAGATATATAGCTCTATAGAGCTAGAAAATTTAGAGAAAATATTAAAAAGTATAGAACTTATTAATATTATTTAACTTTATACTAGTAATAATTAATATATTATTTAATAGCGTAATATATTAATTGAAAAAATCGATTTAGCTATTTATTATCTATTTAATTACTATTTATTAAGTATATATTAAGTATTTAATAATAATAAAATAAAATTTAATTTCTTATATATAGAAAATTTTATATAATATTATTTAGTATACGTTATATATAATATAAAATCTTATTATATTTAATATATAATAATAATAATTTAATTTATTTAATTTAATTAATACTTAATCTATACTCTATTAACGATAAATATTAATATATTCTAATTTTTATAAGATATATTATAATTAATTTTAATAAGTATAAAATTAATTTTTTATATAAAACGAGTAAAGATATAGAAATTAAATTCATAATCATTTTTTTTAAATTAGAACTATCGAGTAAATTTTAATAAGCGATCTTTTATAAGCGATATCTGAATTTCTTATCTTTAAATATCTACCTTATGGGAGCTACTGCATATGGAAATTTACTATTAATAGAAAATAGATAAACTATTAGCGATAATATTACGATTTGTATAATAAGAACTACACATCGAATATATTCAGATTTTACGTTCTATATAACGTATATCGAATAGAGTTATATAAAACTTTCTATTCATAGAAGATTTAGCTAAATTTATTATTAATGAATAGTTAATGAATAGTTAATAGAGTATAAAAGAGATATCGATTTATTATTATTTTAATACTACGCTATAAAGTAATACATTAATATATTACTAGTAGAAAATTAATGAATAGCGATAATATATAAATTTTTTCGATTTTTTTCTTTAAGTCCTACTATATATCTTACGAAAAATCGAAAAATCGAAAAATAAATTACGTGGCGTTGATGAATAGGCTATTATAAGCGAAGCGAGATACTCGAACTAGTTCAAATCTTAATATATAATAAGAGAATTATTAAATAATTATCTATTTATTTCGAATTTCGAATAATTTACTATTATAAAAAATTTAATATCAATAAAAAGTTGATTGAAAGTTGATTGAAAGTTGATTGAAAGTTGATTGAAAGTTATAACAGATATCGAGTCAATAATAAGATCACGTAACATACCCTAATCGTATATTTCCTCTAAGGTACCTGTTTTTTAATCAGAGCTGTCCGGCTATCGAGCGAACTTTGATAAGCGATATTTGAAACTATAAGACTAAATTTAGAAATTCTTTTTTCATCTGAAAGCTCACATTTCGTTCTATAATTTAAAAAAAAATCTCAAAATTATAATAGAAAACAAAAAAGTTATTTTAAAATTAAATAATGTGTACCTGTTTTTTGATCAGGGCTATCCGGCTGTCGAGCGAACTTTGATGAGCGATATTTGAATTCCTTGCGCTTTAATAATTATAAGACTAAATTTAGAAATTCTTTTTTTATCTAAAAGTCTAAATTTCCTTCTACAATTAAAAAAAATCTTAAAAAGTTAATAGAAAATAAAAAAGTTATTCTATGTGTTAATAACGTATATCTATTTTTTTAATAATTACGGACGCTAATTTGTTTACCCGCGGTATCTAATTAAAAAGCGTAGACCTAACGAATTAATAATTGACTGCACATACAAATTCAAGGTTTTCTAGTTTAGCTCTATCTTATTCTTTTATATATACTAATATACTAATTAATAAAATTATTTTTAATATATATAATAGAAGCTCTATCTTATTCTTTTATATATATTAATTAATAAAATTATTATTAATATATATAATGGAATAAGATAGAGCTAAGTTAGAAAATCTTGAATTTATATATATAGTTAATTATAAATTCGATAGATCTACGCTTTTTAGTTAGACACCGCGGGTAAATAAATTAGCGTTCGTAACTATTAAAATCTCTTTTTCTACTTTTAACCTTTCAATAACTTTACTATCTTCTATTAAAATCTTTAGATTTTTTTTTAAATTGTAGCCCGTAATTTGCGCTTTCTAAAAATGAAAAAATTCTAAAATTTGGTCCTATAGATCTTCAAAAGTAAGGAATTCAAATATCGCTCACTAAAGATCGCTTACTAAAGACCGCTTACCAAATTTACTCGACAGCCCTGATTAAAAAAAACGGTTATGAATTTAATTCATAGGCCTTTACTCGTATATACTGATAAATTATAAAGATTAAGTTTTAGAAATTGCAAATCCTAGTGAATACGAGTAGCGTTTTTGAGTCGTTTGAGTACATAATTTTTCCTTTCTTTTACCTCACGGCCAACCACCCTCCAGTAACAACCCTCCTACATTGGACCGCTCATCCTCCTCCTCTTCCTTCAGACATATTGGGCAGCGTGAGCTGGCAAGAGTAGGGCATCGGGCGAAACGTTACTGCACCATAGCACCCCTGGATAAGTCTCGCACACAAAGATCTGTCAACAAGTCGATTAGGGCGTGTTTCTGGCACAGTTCGGCCGCCTGACGCGCAACGTGCAGGGTGTAATCATAGAGCACCGCCGTCGTCATGTTCCACACCCAATTTTTCTCATCTGGCCCCAGGCACCGAGGTTCTGCCCGATTTCTGAAAGGTGACGATGGAGACAAAGCCGGAGAATCACATACGACGGTCGCCCTATCGTTTTTTCTTGTCTAGGGCACTTAGATAGTCAAATTCATATTCTACGCGGACCTCCTACTTTCTACTCATGAAACCACTCATGGAGCTACTTCTACCCCCTCTTCTAACCCTTTTATTCAGTCACTTCCTCACCTACTAATTGACCCTCCGACTGACTTATTCCTTCGGGTCCTCGCTTAGAAGGTTGGTGAGGTAGCTTAATGCGGTAGAGCTTCTTAATAACTTCTTTGTAGGCTTTTGCAGCTAGTCCACACATAGTATAGCTACTTTGCTTGGTGGGGCTATATCTTCCTGCTTCATAGAATAATCAACAACTCCTACCCACCAGAAAGACTCATCTTCAAATCTGAAAGAGGGTGTACATGTAGTCCAAGGAGATGTACACCTATCGGAACTCATTGAAAAAGGTGCAAATGGGGTAGATACGATTAGTTCAATGCTCGGCTAATCTTCGGTTCAATTGACCGAAATTAGCGTGTCTGAAACTCTTGGCGTAGATTTCTAGCCATTTTCAGCAGATAGCTACAGCAAGTCGATACCAAATATATCCAGCCAGCTCGATCCGAGGACATGGCCCGACGTGCGAAGAGAAGAGATCCATCCAGTACGGTGAACTCGAAGACAAGACTAGACGAACGGTCTTTGGGGTAAGATGAATCTGAGCCGTACCTCGAGCAAGTTCTGATGGATTTACTGACTTTCCTAGCACTGTAGGCGAGCGCGAACTCAGTCCTAATCTTATCTCTAAGCTGCCATACGACATTCTGAAAATGATCTACCACCTGGTCCTAAAGGAGGAGCATGGGGTGCTGCTCCTTCGCTTTAAGAAACATACACTTTCGACTGCATACACTCTCGGCCCAGTTGCCCCGGACGACACGAAGGACGCTGACATGGGGAAAATATTTGAGGACGAGGAGCGTTGGTATGGAGAACCGCGCTCGAGCGTCAACCTGAATGGAATGCAGCATGAGGTCTACAATTTCAGGAATGTGGGATTCTGCATGGTGTCGAGGGCCATCTACAATACGGCGATCTGCTATTTTTTTAGCATGAACCTCTTTCGGTGCTTGGACTTCGACGACCTGGAGAATTTCTTACAAGATGTCAGACATGTTCACATGATCAACAAGATCCAGGTCGTTTGGAAAGGTGGTTATACAGGTGGCATAAAGGCGATTACGAAGGGAATCCGCGCATTACAGAACAGGGCCACGGGGCTGAAGGAGTTGCATCTTATCGTTGGTAAAAAGGTTAGTGAGGCTATGCTCACCCAGGAGGCGTGGCGATTGATATGCGAAATGGCTCGGCAGAAGAAATGGCAGGTGCACTTGGATGGCGAGGCGGGGTGTTTGCTCAAGGCGCGTCAGCAGCTAGAGGATGAGGGCCAAAAGACAACCTCTCCAGAATAGATGGCTAGATTACATAAAGCGGGCAGTGACGGGAAGATAATACAGAGTAGTTCCACGCTCGATCTTGTTATTAGTTTATAACCTGGCTGTAGAAAGCATGGGTAGTTGCAAAGTGCGAACCCTAACCGGATTGCTGTGCTTTAAACCTCGGTCCTGAAAGGTACCTAATGTGGATATCTGAAGCGGTTGAAAAAGCCTACGACACATCAGTGAGGGTGCACGTGTATGTTATAGAAAGACGCTACATTGGCGCCGCCGAAGTTGCCCTTCCCCTAGCAGCATACGTTGAACATCCGCTTCCCACACGTAAGGCTCGTCAGCAACCTCCACCGGACGAAGATGCCGGTAGCCTACATAGTGTCAGCGCCGAGCTACAGTGTCCTTCGAATCAACTTACCGCAACCGGCCTGCCGGACACCAACACCGTTGTAGTTGGATAAAAACCCTAGTGAAGCATCCGAGATCGTAGTAGCTGTCACGGCTGTTTTTGTTGCAATTTTCACGGGCAGGTATTTGAACATTCGTTGTCGGAGACCAAAGTATCTCTTCAGTGTGGCTTCTAGAACGACGGCATCAGAATAGCCATCCGATATCAGCATCGTAGTAGGTAGCGAAAGAATTACCAAGGACTTCCTCCAGCACGAAGGCGGGTACCGAAGAACTTGCGGGTCAGACTGTCAAACGTCTGAATACACTGAGAAATGCCCCATTGATGGTGGAAGAGACCTAGTACAATGAATCCACCTGTTAAAGCCGTCAGCGACGATCATTTTATGAACCGAGACAGCTCACCGGAACTTGTTCTAAAAGCAAGGTCGAACAGGTCTCGGATCGGATAGTTGGGCCCGACGATGTTTTGCAGGATTCTCAAAAATTCAAGTAGCACGAATCCCACCCCCATCAATACTCAATATTCGCACGCCGGCCGTGGGCGGCTTCGAAGCAAACGTGAGCCACCCAGAGAAGCAAAGCAGGCAACTCTCAAGCTCATATGTATACTCCGACTCCCAATACTGGGCGACCAAAGATCCTGACACACATCTCACACGCGCTATGGCCACAGCTCAAGACATATTCTGGTTCTCGCCGGAGGCCAGGCAAACATATTTGATTGCTCTGGAGTTCGGCCCACGAGATTTTTATACTGCCAAAGTTGCCGCGATCGATGTGATCCGCCGTGCTACCAGTATTTGATCACAGAAAAGTGATCTACAAGCCTTTCCCGGATGGCCTAATTGTGATATGGCACCAGAGATTATTCCTTAGATGAGACGACAAGGGATTTGACGCAGAAGGGTTTGTAGATTTCATCGTAAACGAAGTAGGGATCAGATACTTTTTTAGCCAGTGCCACGGAAAGAAACCATTGACGGTGGACATTGGTCTTCGATGTGCAAGGAGATATTATGTCAGTCCCCCTCCGACAGTTTCCCGTCCACACTAATGCAGCCTCCCGCGCACGATCTACACATTAAGCTCTCAACCCTCGAGTCAGATAAGAGACCGCCTCAGCCCCATCTATAAATTTCTTATTTATACTAATATAACTATCGAGAGATAACTTAATATAGATTTTATAATAACTTTTATTATAAATAAAATAAGATAAATTATATAAATATTTCTAATAATTAAAATTAAATAAAGTAGAAAAGATTGAATAAAAATAAAAATATTTTAATTAAATATAAGATTATTCGATATTAATTCTTTTTATTAAGTTTAATAATAGTTTATAATAATATTTTAGAAAAAGATTAAGTAAATAGCTTATTATTATAAATACTCTTATATATATATAATTAAGCTTAATATATTAAGAATCTATAGATTATATATATATATTATAGATAAAATTCTAATAAAATAAAATTTTATATTAATTTAATATATTATATATACGAGTTTAAATCTATAAATTAAATTTATAATCTATTTTTTAAATTAGAGCTATCGAGTAAATTTAATAAGCGAACTTTAATAAGCGATATTTAAGCTTCTTATTTTAAATAATTATAAGATTAAATCTTATAACTTTTTTAGTAAAAGCGTAAACTACGCTCTATAATTTAAAAAAAATTAAAAGATTTTAATAGAGAATAAAAAAGTTATCTCATTTATAAATAACGTATATCTATTTTTTTAATAAGAGAGCTCGAGAGAACTAGCGAGCTAACTTAGATAGTCTAGTTAAAAGACGTAACCTCGAATTTATAATTAACTATATATATAAATTTAAGATTTTTTAACTTAGCTTTATCTTATTCTTTTATATACTAATATAATTAATATAGAAATTTTAAATATTATAATATTTTAAAATCTTACTTAAATTTATTATTTATTTAAATTTAAATTTCATTTCATTTAATATTATATATATTTATTTTATAAATATATAAAATAATTAATATTTTTATTTATATTATAAACTTACGAGTAAAGATCTATAAATTAAATTTATAATTTTTTTTTAATTAGAGCTATCGAGTAAATTTAATAAGCGATCTTTAATAAGCGAACTTTAATAGGCGATAATTAAGATTCTTATCTTATAATAATTATAAGATTAAATTTTAGAATTCTTAAATCTTTAAGACGCGTAAACTACACTTTATAAGTTAAAAAAAATTAAAAATTTAATAGAAAATAAAAAAGTTATCTTAAATTTAAATAATATATATTTAAATTTTTAATAAGAGAGCTCGAAAGGGCTTACGGGCTAACTTAGATAGTCTAGTTAAAAGACGTAATAACCTCGAATTTATAATTAGCTATATATATAAATTTAAGATTTTTTAACTTAGCTCTATCTTATTCTTTTATATATATTAATAATATAATTATCTATTTCTTAACATTTCTTAATAATTATCTTAGTTTATTAGATAATTAATTTTTTAAATAATTAATTTATTAAATAATTAATTTATTAAATAATTAATTTATTAAATAATTAATTTATTAAATAATTAATTTATTAAATAATTAATTTATTAAATAATTAATTTATTAAATAATTAATTTATTAAATAATTAATTTATTAAATAATTAATTTATTAAATAATTAATTTATTAAATAATTAATTTATTAAATAATTAATTTATTAAATAATTAATTTATTAAATAATTGATTTATTAAATAATTGATTTATTAAATAATTGATTTATTAAATAATTGATTTATTAAATAATTAATTTATTAAATAATTAATTTATTAAATAATTGATTTATTAAATAATTAATTTATTAAATAATTAATTTAATAGAAAAAGTTTTAAATAAGTAGATATTATTACTTAATCTAGATTTAACTTTTATAATATACTTTTATATTAATACTTTTTAATATTTAATAATAAATTTTTATAATATAGACTTTTTATCTATTATTATTCTATTATTTTTAAATTATCTATAATAAAATTTAAATACTATATTATCGCTATATATAATTATTTTACTTAGTTTTATTTTTTATAATATAATATATAGAATTAACGTAGCTTCTTATCTTAATTAAGTAGTCTAAGAGTTAAAAGTTTAATATATAGATCGTACGCGGAAGACTATATTAGTGTGAACGGAAGACTATTAAAGAAGAACTATTCGAAGATAAGTTAATTATCTAGTATTCTAGTTTCATCTCTATTTCGAGTAAGTAGACGAATAGTAAAGTAAAAGTCTATAAGTCTTCTTAACCCTACGGCTTCAGTTAACGCTCTATTTCTTTTTATTATATAATAGAATTATAATAACTATATTAAGTACTTTATATTAGAAAGTTATAGAAATCTAAGATATCTACTATATAAGAAGACGAAGTTAGTTACTATTAAGCTACTAGTCGTATAAAGCTAACTGCTACTACTTTTAATACTTTCATTTTCTTATTTTTCTCTTCCCGATATCTCTCACCTATTCTAAGCTTATCTCTTACTCTACCTACTATAGATAATACTATATCGCGTACTAGAGACGAATCTTAGTAATAGATTCTTTTATATATTGAATTAGGGAATTTGATATAATAGAATAGCTTAAATTATCGAACTCTCTACGTTAACGACGTAGGGTAAATTGTTAAGCTAAGTAATCTTAAAGCTAAAGTAATTACGTACTCTTTAATAACTTCGAGAGAACTATCTAATAATAGTTAAATTAAAGCGTAATCTTTTAATAATAGTAATAATAAGCTATTTATATAAGATATTTAAATATCTTAAATCTCTCTTATAATAACATCTATAAGTATTCGTTTTTACTTTTATTTATAAGTTATCTCTATTTATACGCTCTTAAATTCGATAAATTCGATATAGATAGCTATTATTATTATTTATTTAAGTAATTTATTTATTCTATTATTATATTCTAATATTATAGCTAATATTATAAGATTTAAATAATTTATTATTATATTCTATTATAATTACTAAGCTTATAATATTATAATAACTATTTATAAATTTAATATAATAAATATTTCTACTTTAAATTTAAATATAATATTATCTTATTATTATATATATGAGAATAAGATAAAGCTAATTTAAGAAATCTAAAATCTCTATATATAGTTAATTATAAATTTAATTAAAGTTATTACGAGCGTATTCTTAATATACTACTTAGCCCTATAGCTAGCGAGTCTTAACGAAGATATTTTCTATTATATTCTATCTTCTTCTCATCTATATAGTTCGATAGTCTTATTATTCTTATTCTATCTCACTTATACTAGTATCGTATCTATACTAGTTCTAATAAAAGTATAAACGTAGTATTAAAATTCTATATCAGTATATATAAAAGAATAAGGTGGGGCTGAGCTTGAAAACCTTGAATTTGTATATGCAGCCAATCATAAATTCGGGTTCGCTACGCTCTTGGGTTAGACTGACTAAGTTATCGCGGGTAAATAAATTAGCGTTCGCAATTATCAAAATCTCTCACTCTACTTTTAACCCTTTAATAACTTTACTATTTTCTATTGA